AATTTATCAGTATCGACTTATCACTTATCAATTTAATACCTTAATAATAGGAAAGTCATCACTCTTTCTAATAATTTCACTCTTTTTTTTGCAGCACACTTTCCCAGCTCACACTTTTTTTTCTTCCTTCTCATTCTTCTTCTTCTCTTATTGGTCTATTTCCTACAGGGACACTTTTTCTTCTTCTCTTCTTGGTCCAGGGAGTTTCTTGCAGGCACACTTTCTCTTCTTCTTTCTTCCCTCTTCTTGGTCCAACATGCACACTTTTTCTCCCTTCTTTCTTCCCTTTTCTTCTCCTCCTCCTGGTCCAGTGCAGACACACAGGAGCTTCCTGTGTCATGCCCAAAGTCCAGTGCGGGCATTGGCCTGCACTGGACTCTATATAGCTCCGCCCCTGATCAAGTGTGACCTGTTTCCAATATTTTACATACTGTAATATGATGTCGAAAATAATCGACGACTCAAATTACCTTAGCTACAAAAATCACACATCAAAAGCAAATGAAAATCCGAATGTGACAGTTTAATCAAATTAGAAAGTTAGTGTCACAAATTTACATTTGCAATCAAGAATGAGGTCTCATAAAGGGTACAACATGGCAAAAATAATCAACAATTTGAAGGATATCACACGTCAAAAACACTTGAACTATATGCACTTCTCATAACGTCTCACTCTAACGAAAAGACTAGCCCGGAATTAAAAGATATGTCACTTTCACATGATCATTTGCAAAAATGTTCAAAATTTGTTCAATATGCATTTTGAGATAAATTAGACCAAAATGCCCTTATGAACAATTTATAATTCCACACTAAAAATATAAAATTATTCACACAACTCTAAATTGTGTTGACCAATAAAAACTTAACACATAACCTACTCAACTTATTCGAAAAAGTACACATGTCAAGCCTCAGTAAATGCTACTTTTCTAATCAAACGCTGATTTTACTTTTTATGTATTAGGGTTGTGAGCTTATCAGACTCGACCCTAACGACAGCTTCCTCACTATTCATCAGTAGCTGCACCTCAATCGTCGGAATCGTTGCGCCGATCGTCATCTTTGCTTGTGGTGTGCGTTTTGCTTGAGTTGCCTCTTCTTCTCTCTCGGTCAAATTTTCTCTATTTTGTCCTTGAGTTTAGGGCAGCAATACAATCAACATTTTGATCCACCAAATTCCTACAACTTATCTCCAGATTAAAGTATACCCATTTAGGAAAAAATACAAATTTACTAACTCGTGTTCAATTTCTAATCTAACAATAAAAAAAATAATATATTCCCACAAACAAGAAATTTTCTGAAAAAAAATATATAAAAAAAATTGTTCATTTGCAGATCATTATAAGTAAGATCGGATCGAGGGTCGCTTTACTATACGTAATTTACATTATTCACATCATATGTAATAAACGCACACCTGTTGTTCATTGCGGGCAAGGCATTTGCAGACGATTTCACCTTCAAGTGCTCGGCGTTCTTCTAAGGTTAGATATTCACAGTATTGCGCCAAACGGGTATGCCCTTGTTTGTTCACCATCAGAATGAATCTGATTCCCATTTTTTTTGATTTTCCTCTCTCTCTCTCTCTCTCTCTCTCTTCTAAAGTCATTTCATTCCTCTCTCTCTCTCTCTCTCTCTCTCTCTTCTCTACCTGATTGAGATTTGCATCTGATTTTACGTAAATGTAATTTTCAATTTGGGCCCTGATTTTTGGGATTAGTGTCAAATTGACCCCACAAAACTTTGAGATTTTGCAAATTTACCTCCTCTTCGTACTATGTCTATGCTCTGGTAAAGATTAAAATAAAATTTTTTGTAGATTTGGATAACATTTGATTTAAATTAATAATTTCAATCACATATTTCGACCGTGTTTGAGCAATATTATTTTTTTCATTCTTATTTTTACTCATTTTTTATCACATTCTTCAAAAAAAAAAATAATAATAATAATAATAATAAATAAATAAANGATAGGGTAACATTGAAAATTTTCACATAGTAGTGAAGGATCGATCCCTTCCCCTTCCCCTTCCCCTTCCCCTTCCCCGTGTAATAATAAATATTTTTAAAAGAAAAAAAAATCAAGTCATCTTAGTAAGATAAATAAATAATCGAAAGTCCCAATTGCATACTATAATCTCATTGTACCAGGTATAGTTTAGTTGTAAAAGACGTGTGATACATTCTATTATAAAATATTTCATTTTTCTTCATTAAAAAAAAATATCTAATGTTCAGTATTATCAATATGTCAAATCTTTAAAAATCAATAATCAATCGATATATATAAAATTTAATTACAAATTAGTCTTCTTTATATAAAATCTTATAAAATTTAATTACATATTAATCTTTTACATAAAAAATGAATGAAAAAAAAAAAAGAAAAAAAATGTTATGAGAATTTATTTCAAAAATTAATGATTACACTTTATTATAAATGTTAATAAAATAATAATTAAATTAAGATAAATATAAATATAAATAAAACTAATTCATTAAGTAATAAAAGGATATAATAGGAATTAAAATTTTATTGTAGCTTAAAATGAAGGACACAATGAAAAATAATTAAAACTGTATATATTCCACCAAATGAAATAAACCCTAAACACTATTCATTATTCTAATTTGGAGTGAAAATTCGAAATCCGATTTGGAGAATCATTTTTATACCAAATTGGTCTTTTACTTCATTTTGAAGATTTCCTAAGTGACAATTCCTTTTCAATCCCCATCTACGGTCTCCATCTTCGCATCTTTCGTTGATTGTACTAAAATCAAATTTCGGTACATCAATATAAATTTGACAAAATTGTTAGGATTATCATAAATTCCTTATGTCCGCATAATCTTTATTCCTAAAAATATAGAAAAAGATATTTTGGATTTACGTGTAAAATTATTTTATTGAAAGAATATAAAGTTGAAAATGAGTTTGAAAAAAAAAGAATTTTGAAAAAGGAAGGCTTATGGCAATTGCAAAAGGAAGTCCCTCTTCTCTTCATTTTCTTTTCTTTGGGAAGGGAGATGACACAAAACTCATTCCTTTAAACATCCATCATTTTCAGTATGCTTAACACAAATATATATTACAATCATGCTATGAGTACATGAACGTTTGACAGAAAATTTTAAGATAATACATAGCTTGGAATCATTAGAAGATGAAGAGAGAGAAAAAAAGGCCAATCATGCGTCGCCACGTCAGAGTTGGCGTGAATTTTGTTAACATTTATTGCTAAGTAAATATGCAGCATACATTACGATTTATGAAGTTCATAATGCAGTTGCTCTAAATAGGGTTCACATTGTTGTGGTACAAGTAAGATAGCTTTCCATCAAATTTCGACGTCAACTCATGTGCAATAAATCCACTGTATCGATTTTCATACGTTGCCATACAAACCTCAATGACCCTCTTCGACATCTGATCTTCTTCGTAAAATTGCTGACTTATGAGTTCATCGAGAGTTATCCACTGTATGTACATAACATTACCGCAAACAAAAATTGTCATTTTCACGAACAAAATGAAATCTTGAAACCTATTTAAATTTGGAGTTTGTTTGGGAGGGATTAAAGTAAGCGACAACAAATAATTGAATGAAAATGCTTAATGTATTTTAAATAATCAAATGATAGAATATCATCTAACATATTAAGAGCTTGTTTGGGAGGGATTAAAATCAGATTAAAATTGAAAATATAGCTGTTGGAGTTGACTTTTATTAGACGAGTGGGACCCAATAACGGCTATATTTTCAATTTTAATTGGATTTTAATCATTCCCAAACAAGCTCTTGGTTACCTTGGCATCCTGTATTTCATTTTCGTCAATCTTGATAGCGAACGATAATGGCTTAAGCATGCATATGAACAGCAAGTCCGATTTCTCAAAAGCCACTTGGTGCACATGTCTGGGATATTTGCAACAAGTCGAAAAATCTTTAAATTTTTTCTCACTAAAACCCCATGTACATAAAGAATTCGACAGAAGTAAACCAGAATACTCACAAATGAGTGGGGCCCACCATGTATTTAAAAAGTAAAATAAAATGTGCGGGACCCACACTTGAGAGTGTTCTGATAAATTTCTGTGGGATTTCTTTATGTACATCTAGCAAAATTGTTTTTTTTTTAACACATATTTCTTAATAGTGTCGAGCACTTCTAAATTTAATTTATGATAAAAAGGAACTACAAAAAAGGAATATTTACCTGAAAGCAACAAGCTCCAGGAATCTTGTGTCTATCTATAATGGGGAATAGAAGAAGAAAATTTTCAATTATTATATCTTGAAGCTTTTAATGGCATGAAACAGTAATTATATTGAAAATGGAAGTAACATTTTTGTGTTCTTACACCAGTTTCTTCTTTCACTTCTCTTACAGCTCCTGAGAACAATTCTTCAGACTAACCAAAATGTCAAAAATAAATAAATTAATACTTGCACTATTGGAAGAAGGAAATGTAGTAAGGTAATTCGATCCCACTCAAGAAGTTGAAACTTTTAGACGAAATAGTTTGATAGTATTCACGTTTAGTCATTTACTTGTTACCTAAAAGTAGAGTACATATACCTTGTCGATGTAGCCAGTTGGCAATTTCCACACCCCACAGCAACTACAGGAGCTTTTTTCTTTCACTACGAGGATCTGATGCCACAATTAATTTCATTTATGTGAGGAATCAATTACAGCCAATAGAGAAAAGAAATTAGAATTCGTTCGTGAATGTGGTACATAGCGTCACAAACTCGTGCACGTATACCTCTTTATTATCGTTGATCACGACTCCTGCAATGCCGATCTGATGGGACGGGCCCAAAGGGAGAATGCAAGGCTCTTCAGGAATCCAGTAGGTGAGCATAACATATCCAGGTTCAGCATGGTGGTAGACAAAACCTTCCTGCAATTTTGCACTATTAAACAAAATTATAGAACACTCATTGATACATTGGTATAACAAGATCAGTTTAATTGCAATAATGTATAAGGAACAACCTTAATAGCTATTGGAACAAGATCTGCTTGCTCTTCCAACAATTTCAGCCATATCCCTCTTTTCCCCTGCATTAGTAGAATGCCACAAGAATAAATTGCGGTTATCATCCTTAACTTTTACTTCATTTTGCACTTTGTCCACAGGCCATGGCCCACCTTTAAAAAAAGAAGAAAAGAATCATGCTACTTATACAACCTTGGTTGACAACTTCACACTTATTAGCATCACATTCATTCATTTTAAAAATAGTTTTTTAAATCAACGGCCAGAATTTTGACAACACCAAGATTGTCAACAAGGGTTGTATAAATAGCTTAATTGTAAAAGAAAATAACTGGAGGGTACGAAGGTCTTCTGAACAGATAAAATTCCTTAGCTCGAGTTAGCCACCATTTATTTAAGAAATTTGTGCACGGTTTAGGTCTTTTTTTGTTGAAAAAATAAATTTACTAAGCACGCAACATGAGCATGCTAAAGACATAACTTAAATAAATATATTTATCTCATTTCTAATAGTTTAGGCTTCTATACGAGTTGATTGGATTCGCGTACAAAACCTTGTACTTCCAGGAGGACAAAGAAGCCTTAAGTACAGATGCAAAAGCATTTGCAGAAGTGTGTAAGCTTGTGGGTTCAATAACAACCCCATTGTAATCATCATTCCATGCATTCTGTAATTCAACTGATAACTCTGGAGCCATTATTTTTGGAGACAAAACTTTAACTTTTTGCTTTGGAGAAAAACCGAGCTTAAAATCGGATTTTTCAACAAAAATCTCCTTTGATTTTAAACCTGAATTCACGGGAAGATACAGTAAATTTCAAAATTCACATATATGTAAAAAAAGCATAAGAAATATGACAACATCATCTCTTGATCAATTAATAACTCACTCTTGGAAAATCCAATAGCAGTTTCATTTTTTCTCCATGAAACTTTTGGGCCAAAAGAACCTGGAAATTGGTAGATTGTTACTTTTGATGCCATCACTATAGAGTTTTTGGACAAATAGCTAAATTTAAATTCAGGTTGCTGTGTATAAATGTTGTCTAAATATATAGCCTCTGGACTGGTATGCTTAATATTAGATCAGCTGATGAAGAAGGCGAGAATATTAGGCGAATACCATCCTGCACATCAAGTAGGAGGAAAAATACTTTAGCACATGTTTGAGTTTCATTCTTTAAAATTCATTTTTTCCCAAACGCATTTTCAATCACACATTTTTCCAATAAAATAATTTTGCATGTAGACCCAAAATTTTTCCTTAAATTTTAACTGCACATTTTACAAAAAATTCATTTTTTACAAAATATATTATGAAAAGTTGGGCTCAAACGGGGACTTATAATACATGTACACAAATTTTATAAATGGGTGTTGAACCTTTGCCTTATGTTCTCATCACATTTTGCTACACATTTACTCGGCATATCCCCTCGTTTATCCACATTATATACTAAATATTTAATCCATTACAAATTACAGGTAACTTTCAATTCTCAAGTTGTGAGATATTCTTATATATCTGGAATCTATGTTATTT